CTCAGTTGGGCAACGGCTGGCTGGTGATTGCATGTTTTTTATTTGCTGCTTTCAAAAAATATTTTGGTGTCAAAACATTGTAAATATCAAAGAAGGTAAATAATTTTTGCGTCCCTTGCTATAGTCGTGATACATTAACATGCGTGTACTGCGTCCCAAACAGTTTGTTTCAGGGTGTAGTTTTATGGCTAACAAATTGTACTGATTTAATGTTACTTCGGTACCTTGGGGTAAGATGCCCCCTGTGCTGATGGGGAAAGACGCTCCCCTAAATCCGTAGGCTGTCCTTCAAGCAGCCCGTCAAATCATTTATTACATACTTGTGATGAGAGACAAAAGCAAATCTGGGACTATTGAGAGTCCAGTACGGTCGGGTGCTCCCCATGCCGGTCTCTCGGCCCACACAGCGACTTTTTGGGCGGCATCTGACTCTGAGAGCCCTCACGACGGCCTCTGTGGGCCCCATTATTGGCTCCAGGGCCCCTCACGACATCCTTTGAGGGCTCCCACGTTGGCTCCACGGGCCGCGCTGGCATCTGAGGTCCCCACGATGGGCTCGAGGGCCCTCAAGCATCATGAAGACCTATAAGGGCCCCACAGTGGTCTCCAAACGCCACCACGGAGGCTTGTTTGGCCGCGCTGGACTATGATGGCCCATAACGATGACCTCTGAAGCCCCTTACGACTACTTTTGAGGGCCCTTACGATGACGTTTGGTGTCTACTGCAGGCTCGAAGGGACTACTCATTCGTTCAGGCGATTCACGTGCCCATTTATGTCACTTATAGTGCAGGGGCATCTTCCCCAACGCCAGGGGGCGTCTTTCCCACCCTGTGGGGTAAGATGCCCCCTTTCACTTCTTCAGGAAAATGCTTAATAGCAAAAAAACTCATCATATTTCAGGCACGAAAGTGTGATATTTTTGGAGAAAAATGATGTCGGCTTCCGTTGAAACTCCATGTTTTTATTTCCGATCGTCATTTTCGAACAATATATGACATAGTAAAACCCTGGGCATCTTTCCCCACTCTCCCCTACCTGAAGAATCTCACCGATGATCTTAAAACCAACCCTAAGCGTTTTTGGTCGTATGTAAAAACCGTCAAAGGTAGAAACAGTGAAATCCCACCACTTGTAAACGGCAACGAGAAAGTAGCGGACGACACTGCCAAAGCAGAGTTGTTAAACCATGCTTTTGCTTGCAAGTTTGCAGACACGTCTGTCAGCGATGTACCTCAAGCGCCTGTATATGACCTGAACCCACTGCGGGAATTACATGTATCGTCGGAGAACATCAGGAACATTCTCAAGGGCATGAACCCTGGAAAAGCGTGCGGTCCTGATAATGTCAGCGCTCGTGTCATGAGAGTGTTCTGACGAGTTGGCGGCGCCGCTGGCGATACTGTGCAGGCTGTCTTTTGACCAGGGCGTATTTCCCAAGGTGTGGAAGCGTGCAAACATTGTGCCGATCCATAAGAAAGGTACAAAAAGCTCACCGCTCAACTACCGCTCCGTATCGCTACTGCCGATGTTTGGGAAAGTGGTGGAACGTGTTGTTTGTGAGGTTCTGTACGCACATGTGAAGCCTGTTCTGTCAGACCGACAGCACGGGTTCATGCCGGGCCGCTCTTGTGCATCGAACCTGCTCACAATGCTGAACGCTGCCTGGAACAACATCGCTGCTGGTTCTCAAACTGATGTGATTTATACAGACTTTAGTTCGGCCTTCCAAAGTGTTAACCACAAACTACTTCTTCACAAACTTAAAAATTCATATCAAATTTCAGGCAAAGCTTTTGCATGGTTTGAGTCGTACCTTTCGGAAAGAGAACAGCGCGTTGTTGTGAAGGGCAAGTGTTCGCAGTGGGCGTCGGCACCGTCAGGCACCCCGGAGGGCGGACTAATTTCCCCGTTACTGTTCGCCTGCTTCATTAACGACTTACCTGACTGCGTGAAAACTGATTGTGTGCTATTCGCCGACGATGTCAAGCTGTATGGCAAGGTAGACTGTCCTGCTGATGCGGACTTCTTACAGCGGCAGTTGGACAGTTTGCATCGTTGGTCTACACTATGGAGACTCACACTAAACCCGGCCAAATGTAAAGTGTTAACGTTAACACTTCGGCATGCTCCAACTGTCGGTGTGTACTCGTACACTGTGGGAGGCGAGCAGTTGGAGAGAGTTGGTGTGATGCGAGACCTGGGTGTGTACCTTGATGAGAAGCTAACATTTGGTGAACATGTAGATGTTACTGTTCGTAAGGCTAACAGGGCGCTAGGCGTGCTCATGCGATCATTCCAAACTGGCAAGCGTGGCAGGTCACTCCGTGAGTGCAATGTAAAGGCTGTGCTGGCTTCATACTGCGCAAATGTTCGTTCCATTCTCGAGTTCGCAGGCGTGGTGTGGGGAGGGGCGGCAGAGACGCACATGAAACGCATTGAGCGCGTTCAGCATAAGTTTTTGATGTGGCTGAGCGGTAGATGTCGAGACACAGACGTGTCCCTTGAGTACGACGCCCTGATGAAGCGCTTCCACATGGCCCCCCTCGCAGCGCGGCGTGAACAGCATGACATCATGTTCATCCGCAACATTCACCGTCATGCTGTGGACTCGTCATACCTGTTGGAACAGTTTCCGCTGGCAATGCCTCCTCGCCCGCTCCGGAATAGGACGCTGTTCCATGTGCCGTATGCTCGGGTCAACACGGTCAGAAATAGTCCATTCTGTCGCTTGCCGAAGCTTTGTAACGCGTTTCTCGACCGAAACCGGGCCATTGACAAATGGAACCACAGCGCTCTGAACTTCAAAAAGCATGTGATCACCTATGTGCGCGAGAAGTAGACCAACAGAGGTGTGTTTGTGTCGATATTGTGTCTGTTTTGCATTGTTATTCACCTTGCTGCGTTTGTGTGTTTTTATTCTGATGACTTTGTCTATAAATGGGTCATCTTACCCGTGGATGATATGCTAAATAAACTAAACTAAACTAAACTAAACAAACACGACTATGGTCAGTAATCACGGAGGAAGCGATTAGCAGACCCGCGTCTATCGCCAGCACTCCATGCGTCGGGATAATGGGAATGGCTCTCGCCTGGTTTGGGTACCTGACCCTCATTACCACAGCATCAGCCTTTCCCAAATCTTCATCGAGCTAGAGCTTCGCGAAAAAAAATGAGCGTGTTGCCCGTGACGAGAGGAGGCCAATCCTGATCGAGCTAGAGCTTCGCGAAAAAATGAACGTGTTGCCTGTGACGAGAGGAAGCCAATGATACCCAATTGTAAAGGTCCTAGGTCATTGGACCTTCCAGGTCAGGTCAATGAAATAAAATTCTGGAAAATCGGGACCTGTTAGAATGTCGTAAAGTGTGGCTGCCATGGGGACTGCTGAACACGAATATCACGTTAGGTTTGATCACAGATGATGTCTTCATGCATTTAGGCCAGGTCGTATCAGGTCAGGTCATGTCAACCATTAGGGGTCGTGTTGGGTATTCGTAGTACGTGTCAACCGTCTCTGACAGCTTCGTAACATGTTACGAAGGCACCAAATCTACTTCGTAGATGTGCGAATGATTGCTAAATTCGAATTCAGCTCTAAAAACTACTCTAGAAACATATAAAACTCGAAAAAGTAAACCGAGGTCACCAAAGGTCAATGACCTGACCTGACTTCCAGGTGACCTTGATATCCACTCTCATGCATGGGAGTAATATCAACTCTCATGTTTGAAACGCTCGAAACCACGAAAAAAACTTATCATCATCATATCCGTAAGAAAATGTCAACGGGGCACAACAGGGGAGGGACGTGTAGGTAGGGAGAGAAAGAGACGGGTAGGAAGGTGGGGAAAAAGAAAACAGGAGATGAAATAGGCGGATAGAAAACAATACAAACGCAAAAGAAAAGAAAAAAAGGAGGGAGAGAGAAAATACAGTGAGGAAGGGACTGGGATAGAGACAGAGACATATAAAAAGATAAAAAGAAGAGGGAGGGAGGAAAAGAGGGAGAGAGAGGTACAGAGAGAGGGAGAGAGAGGGATAGATAGAAAGAGAGAGAGAGAGGGAGAAAGAAAAAAGAGACAGACAGACAGACAGACAGATAGACAGACAGACAGATAGACAGACAGACAGGCAGACAGGCAGACAGGCAGACAGGCACACAGGCAGGCAGGCAGGCAGGCAGGCAGACAGGCAGACAGGCAGACAGGCAGACAGGCAGACAGGCAGACAGGCAGACAGGCAGACAGGCAGACAGGCAGACAGGCAGACAGGCAGACAGGCAGACAGGCAGACAGGCAGACAGGCAGACAGGCAGACAGGCAGACAGGCAGACAGGCAGACAGGCAGACAGGCAGACAGGCAGACAGAGACAGAGAGAGAGAGAGAGAGAGAGAGAGAGAGAGGGAGAGAGAGAGAGAGAGAGAGAGAGAGAGAGAGAGAGAGAGAGAGAGAGAGAGAGAGAGAGAGAGAGAGAAAGAGAGAGAGAGAGAGAGAGAGAGAGAGAGAGAGAGAGAGAGAGAGAGAGAGAGAGAGAGAGAGAGAGAGAGAGAGAGAGAGAGAGAGAGAGAGAGAGAGAGAGAGAGAGAGAGAGAGAGAGAGAGGAAGAAGGAGAAAAAGTGAAGAAAAGATAACTTTGACGGCGACAGTGGACGGGCAGCTCGGCGCTGCCGACGGCCCCTGCCCTGCGGACCGGGCTGAACATGACATGCACCATCGATCCCATCGAACACTACCACCCAACTTTCCGAGATAGCTGCATATCCTTACTTCTAGTTCTCAATATTCGAAGAGTGAAGCGGACCGAGCGGCGTCTCCTTTTGTCAGTGGACACCCGCCCCGCGGCACGACCCTTCCATACTCCTAATTACCGGATTACTACGGCCAACCAGCGGGCCGGACGGTCAGTTCTGGGCGGGGATTGAACCCTTTTCCGCCCCCTCTTCCTGGGGATAAAATAGAGCTCCCTAGTGTGTCCCTGTTGGAGTTGAAGCGATCTTCTCCAAACCGTCGAGACGCCATGAACCCCTCTACTGAAATCGCGCCACCGACGAGCGCGGAGCCGGAGGTCGTAGGCGACTTCAATGTGAAATTTGTGCGACCGACGGCGAAGAGTCCGGCCCCGGACTACGAGGTCCCGGACTGGATTTTTAGCCCGGAGCGGGCACCTCCAACCCCGTACTACGATTGTTTCGTCATGGAGGGCTACTTGGCGGCGGAGCGGTCGCGTTACAACACCGCCTATCTGGCCATGGTGAGTTATCTCTTCTGGTTCTTTGTTTACACGCACGTGCTCTTTACATATTGCTGACCCTCCCCCCCCCCCCCAACGTCGGTCTCTTGATGGCTGCTAACGAACTTCAATATCGGGGATCTGATAATCCTTAGCAATGAAGCGAATAGATAAGGGAAACGCCTAATGTAACCTCTCTGTCCCTTAATTCTTCTCGTGAGGTGACGCCAAGTTTCTCTTTTTCAGGCTGCCCCACGCGAGAGAGCCCGAGAGGCTACCGCCCTAGTGCGCCGGACGGCAGTCATAATAAGGTGGTTGGAAACGCGCCTGGCCTACCTGCCGACGCACGAGCGCGCCGCCATGCGCCGTCTGTGTCGGGCGATTGTCTCTTATAGTGTTGCTGTTCGAAATAAACCGTGCATCATTTTTTAAAGCCCCAATAAACCAACAACAGCTTCCTTTTCTTTGAATGAGCGAAGAGCGAATAATGACCGTTGGACACTTGCATCAACACCTGTGTTTAGTAGCCTGAATGGGTCTAATATCACCGCCGATAGGTACAGAACAGTTGAGATGTTTACACGACACGGGAGGGGGGAAGGGTCGGAAGGTTGCTACCCGTGCTGCTGTGCAAGAGAGAGAGAGAGAGAGGGGGGAGAGGGAGAGAGAGAGAGAGAGAGAGAGAGAGAGAGAGAGAGGAGAGGGGAAGAGGCAGGAGGACGAGAGAGAGGGAGGAGAGAGAGAGAGAGAGAGAGAGAGAGAGAGAGAGAGAGAGAGAGAGAGACAGAGACAGAGACAGAGACAGACAGAGACAGAGACAGAGACAGAGACAGAGACAGAGACAGAGACAGAGACAGAGACAGAGACAGAGACAGAGACAGAGACAGAGACAGAGACAGAGACAGAGACAGAGACAGAGAGAGAGAGAGAGAGACAGAGAGAGAGAGAGAGACAGAGAGAGAGAGAGAGAGAGAGAGAGAGAGAGAGAGAGAGAGAGAGAGAGAGAGAGAGAGAGAGAGAGAGAGAGAGAGAGAGAGAGAGAGAGAGAGAGAGAGAGAGAGAGAGAGAGAGAGAGAGAGAGAGAGAGAGAGAGAGAGAGAGAGAGAGAGAGAGAGAGAGAGAGAGAGAGAGAGAGAGAGAGAGAGAGAGAGAGAGAGAGAGAGAGAGAGAGAGAGAGAGAGAGAGAGAGAGAACCCTGACTGAGGCTCAGCATAATAAGAAATGAAATAGTAACAAATCATTAAATAGTAACCAATAACCTCATACTATAAATGATAAAATTAGAGCCCAAATATTTAGGCATTCATTGAATATTTCGCTTTGCAGCTTCGTCAGCAATGGGGCACGAAATTAAGCAATGTCCCTAGAATTATGTTTTCGAAGGAGGCACCAGACATGTGAATGAAACCAGGTGTCTCGTATCACGTATGTGCGACTTTGCAGCATGGTTGTTGGGTACATATAAGTTGAGGTTCATGTGTTTGCCGTGTCACCACGAAATGACCGTGCAGTGCAGCCCGTTCCGTGCCCGGCCACGTGCACTGCGATATCACCCGTGCCTCATCAAGAGCCCCTACCCTTCCAGCGCGAGGCACCTTTGAACTCTGACTGTGGCTAGTCTTCAGCAGTAGTAATGAGGGGTCGCATAAGATGGGACGATTGATAAGATTAGGGTAGATAAGGGTACCGAGGGAAGCTGCGGGTGGTCAAGCGATTAGCAGTATCTTGTCACCGGCTATAGACTGACGACAGGAACTCAAGAGAAGTTCTGACAATATGACGACACACCGCTTCAGCCAGCGTCTAGAGACCCAAACGCGCCGAGAGACTTAACCCTATTCCTGGCGGGGGCCTCAGGAGCCCCCCCTGAGGTTTTTTGGTTATTTCTCCCAAACGCGTTGAGCTAGGAAGCTCAAATTTTCTGACTTTTCCTAAAAGGCTTCTACGCAACATGTCTGAAAATTTTGAGTTGATCTGACCTCAGGTCAGGTCACCAGAGGCGGTTTGGTGACCCTACCTCAGAAAAGTTTGCAATCACGCCAGAGCTAGAGTTTTTGACCAATCAATTTCTTCTCTTCAGGCTTTAGTTAGGGTACCAGTATGTGCAATTTTTATATCTCGGAATTTTGATATCGGTGACCTAAGGTCAGGTCAGTTTCGCGACCTCCCCATTAATAAGTCAATGGGGGAAAAATCAACTCCCTGTTTTTACCACTAAAACGGGTCGGAATGGCCCCATATACCAATACCATACATGACTTCATATACGATCAACCTTGACTACCTTGAGGTCTGTTTTGCTGTTGGGCAGCTGTGAGGTCATGTGACGTCATCAAAGGTCACCAAAGGTTTTTGGCCAATAACTCCGTACAGGAACAAGATACAGACGCGTGGATGGTCTCATTGTGTTCAGCTCGTCAAGACGCATCGAATGATATACATGATGACCTCGAGGTCACGTGACCTGAGGTCAACCTTTGACCTTGACCTTTCGAGGTCAACATATATATCATTCGATGCGGATTGACGAGAGGATCACGATGATGCCCTTAGTTTGTTCCTATCTTGACTAATTCGAAAGTTATTCGAGAAAAACTATCTCCATATCTAGCGCCGCCATTTTGACTTTTTCGACCCCTGTGACGTCATCTTTGACATGACCTGAAAATGACCTTAGTAAAAATTGTAGACTTTGTCCATGCGTATCCGATGCCGTTTACCGCTTGTCGCTATCTTGCTTCGTTCTCGAGATCTCAGGGAGGGGCCGAATCGGCCCCCCCCCCCCGCCAGTTTCTTGTCCCGGCGGAGCCCGCCAGGAATAGGGTTAAGACGTGTCCCGACCCCCCAGTGCTCCAATGTAGTTGGGTTTCCTTCCAGTGACAGGCTCATGAATTAGCTAATGCCCCCTATCCCCAGACAGTCCCGGAGGTGGTCCCGGGTGCGGCGCCACGTGGTGTCCACGTGTGTAACTGCGGGTACAGCTTGGCTCAGCCTGGGTATATAGCAGTCTTCAGCTCAATGGGGAGATACAACCTATCCAGAATGCTTTATTCTGCTCTCCAATTACCCGAATGAAAAGCAAAACTGAGTGGCATTTATAAAACAAAACATGTAAGCCCATACTTAACTGGGCAAGATATACCTTGGATATACCAATATACTCAGGAAAATTCACATTTGAATATTTGCTAGCTCAGTGACACTCGCGTACGGAGATGTCTGCCAATGAGCTGACTAGGCGATCAGGGGGTGATCAGGAGGACCACCTTACCTATCATTCCTCACTTTGTCTACCGCGGTTTTCAACAGCGGTCGTCGCCGCTCTTCTTGGCTGAGCATCTCCAAACTACTAAACTGAATCCCACCGTCCCCACCCCAAGCGGCGTGTCTCCAGTTGCACCCGGGGTCTCGTCTCCTCTTTGATAATGTCCAGCGTTCGGTCGGCAGTAATCCAGGCTTGGTGCCATGCGACTGTGGGTGGGTGGTATGGCAATGTCAATTACCAAACACGGCTATGGTCAGTAGCACAGAGGAAGCGATTAGCAGACCCGCGTTTATCTATCGCCAGCACTCCATGTGAAGGGATAACGGGAAAGGTTCCCGCCTGGTTTGGGTACCTGACCCTCATTACCACAGGGTCAGCCTTTTCCAAATCCTCTAAGGGCGTGGCTGGTTCTGGTAGCAAGACTGACATTTTTTGCACCTCGGTCGCGGTGTGTCGCCAACATTGTGAGCGGCTTAATTGAAGTTTCAGGCGCCAGTCTGGTCGGTAATTAGACACCCTTCACCACGTGGTCAGTGGCCACCCACACTCCACAGTCCATTCACCAGGCCCTGCGGTTGTAGGTACTCGTACAGAGAATGTTACCTGCTGTACAACCGAAGACAAATAAATGACCAGCCAGAGTTTAGGGAACGAAAATGAAGTATTGATATACGAGTTTGAAGTGGTGAGAGCTTCTCGTATAAGACATATAAGAGATGGTGATAGGATGATGCAGATAAGTTGCATTTATGTGACCGCAGCAATCATAGCTGGGTTGTTACCTGACCCTATTCACTAGTTCGGCATAGTAAATACATACCGTGAGCGACGGCAGAGACTGGCTACACACGCTTGTCCGGTCAATGATTCATCAGTCTCCCTCCCTATTGTTTGGAGAACCACAGCGCGGCGGTCCCTTGCGAGACGCGTCAATCGCAGACACGCAGGTCACCAGACATATCACGCGGCCAAAGAATACGCTGATATACAGTGTTCGGTCAATCCTGGGACACCCTGTATACAGTACACACCGTCTCATGACGCAGGCAAATCAATTTCGACCATACATAACCGTATAAAAAATTAAAGCGAACAAGAGACTATAATGAAATAACCGTTTTAAAAAAGACCAAAACGAAGTTACTTTTAAGAATAATCACTAGCGATGTGCCCAATTTCAGCGCCATCGGCCTAGCCCTTCTCGAGATCTGGATGCGGCACCCTGCACGTGCGCACGTGCAAAATGGGTCCCAACTGACTTTTGCACGGCACCCTACTAACCGGTCCCTCATCATGTACCAAATTTCAGTGCAATCGGTTCAGCCGTTTTCAAGATCTGGAATCGACCTCTGCACGTGCACACGTGCAGCTGCACCCCAGCTGTGGCACATAAAACATATATTTCCTAGTGGTTGCCTACCTACATGCCAAGTTTTAACACGATCGGTCCAGCAGTTACCGAGATATTGCAATTGCTACAAAACTGACACCTCTTCGTTTTGCACGTGACACGTGCATCAGGAGTCACCTGCTTTCGGTGTCGGGATTCCGTCGGGATCGGACGTGCCCATCGAGCTCCTCCTTACTGCCTGGCTAGTCAGCTGATTGTATCTCACTTTTCCTGGTTTTCTTTCCTGGTCTTTGCTATTTCCTAATCCACGGATCACATCTTCGTAAACAAAAACAACAAGAGTAAAGAAAAGCAAGAAATGCCGTTAGAACGATCGCCGGTACTTTCCCGCCGAAACCAAGGAGGGACGCCAGCTGACCGCAATCAGCCTCAAGACGCTAGCGTCGGGAACGGTTTCAAAAAATGCGACCGGAGTCTCCGAGAAAAGCAAGGAAAAAAGTCGCGACGGGGAAAGCGGTGGAACCAGGGCTTTAGCTATTGGTGGCTGTGGTGATGGTGGTGGTAGCGAAGGAGGGAGCGACGAGCACCATAAACAGGGAAGCGTGGCGGCGGTCGGCGAGAAAGACATCGATTCAGGTATGGAACAAACCTCGACGAAGCAAACCAAGGTGGGTAAACTCAATCAAAGCGTCTACAAAGCTTTTGAGCAGGAATCTGGCGGTACCCTATCACGCTCCTCAAGCGACACGAGCAGCACAGAGGCAATCTGTACTGGTGGCCCCGACAAGGTATGTGGAAACCCTGTGAAAAATGGCGAACCTGGG